CTTAAAAAATCTGAGTTCCGTGCGGATTTCTCGGAACAAAACACGCCAGCATACCTACAGACCCCCATCTTCTGCGGCATCACTTAAGCCGCCCCAATATGTGAGGCCCCTGGGGCTCGAAACCTTGCGAAAACGCCCCTGGCGGACGAAAGCCGGACGACGAGGACGACGACGACGACGACGACGCCGACGATGCCGACGCCGACGACGACGACGCCGACGCCGACGCCGACGCCGACGCCGACGTCGACGTCGACATCGACGACGCCCCCTGCTTTCGTCCGGCCCGGCCGCCGCGCCGGCGCCCGCGCCGGGCGCGCCCGCCCAGCTGTCGTCGGAGTCCTCCGCCTCGCCCGGGCCGAGGCGGGGCCGCGCCGCGCTCAGCGCGGAGAGCCGCGCGTGCCCGTCGCGGGCGCCGGGCTCCGCCGAGGGGCCGTCCCCGTGGGTGCTGCCGTCGCTGTCGTCCGAGAAGAAGCTGTAGCCGCTCTGCGGCGGCGGCACCATCGCCGCGGTCCCCGCCTCCGGTGCGCCGAAGAGGGGATATGGCCTCCTCCACCCTCGCGCCTCGATCGTTCTACCCCGTGGCCCTCCTCCTCCTCCTCCTCTCCTCCTCCTGCTCCTCCTCCTGCTCCTCCTCCTCCACCTCTTCCTCCTCCTCCTCCTCCTCCTCCTCCTCCTCCTCCTCCTCCTCCTCCTCCTCATCCTCGACGCCCTGACATCTGACGGCGTGATCTTTCCGCCCGCGGCCCCAGAAAGCGCTAGCTCGGGCCTCCGGCAGCCGTCCGGGACAATCCGGGCGGCGCCCTTGAGAGCTCTCGGCGGGGCGCGGCTGCTGGAACGTTTCCAGGGCGAATCAGGGTCCGATCGCCAACAAAGACTTCCCACACACCCGTAGACTAGACAAGCGCGTTCCACGAATGACTCTCATGGTAACTACTCGCAAATGGCCCGCTCCGCCGCGAGGGATCCATAATCCAGCACGTCGGAGGCAGGCCTGTGTTTTTCGGACGTTTGCGAGTAGGCACTATGCGAGCAGTGGAGCGCGCCTGGTGATAGACGACGTCCAGGAAGCAGTGAAAAGTTCCTCCACCAACCTCCAGCCCTGACCCCCTCTCTGCCCAGACGTCCGACGAGGACGTGATTTGCCAAACTCCGCGGGAGGTCCCGCCCCCTCCCCCTGGCCATCGCTCGGACGTCCATTTCCTGTTTTTCTTTTGGTTTCGTGCGTGGTTTTTTCGCCAAATGATCGAGGATGCTCCTCGATGGTCCTCGCCGAAGGAAAAATGCACACGTCCGAGCGATGCCAAGTCCCCAGGGGGCAGTGTTCGACCTGGATCCGTGGCTGACTGCCCCGGGGACCAACAGTGGGCCCCACGAGGCCGAAATCGAAGAAACGCTGCCGGATTGAGCAAACCACATGGTCGGAGACTCGGGCACGGAGGCTCGTGCCGAGGCGACCTCGGCCTCGGGTTCCTGACACCACGTGGATCGTTCAACCTGGCGCGATGCGCGGCCTTTTGATCGCCAGATCGTGCAGTCTCTGCCGATGCTCGGCCACTGGCGGCGTTCAACCTTCCTGCCCGCGGCGGGGTCGCTTGCCACGTCGGCACGACACGAACCTCCCGTTCCCAGACACGTGCAGTTCGGGATCCGCGGCCAACCCTCCCCCCAGGGCAATTTTGTCATGGTGGGTCCATGTTTACGGTCCCCGGGCCCGGCGAGAGCCCCCAGAGTGGCCAAAAATGTCTGTCTTGATCTTTATCAATCTGCATGTCTGGGTGCACCCCTAGAGACCCCCCAGATGGGGGCTGAGCAGATGCTGTCGGAGGATCGCGTCGCATCGCCGAGGCATCGAGGATGCATCGGCGACCTCGGGCGCTGCATCGGCGACGCCGGCGTGGAGAAAGTCGGGCTCTCCTCATCGAGCCGCATCGCCGATGCGCCGCGATCCTCCGACACCGTGCCTACTGCGTCCCCATCTGGATGATCGCCCAGAATGCCCCTGGTCTTAGGTCGGGCATGTCCCCCTACAGGCCGATGTTTGGCGAAAAATTGGAACTAGCCCAAAAAGATTGAAACAATACTCAAAACACTTAAAAAAATATCGTCCCCTGACTATTGCTCTAATTCCCCACCTGGGCTCTGCCCAGAAGGGTTCTCACTCTGTTTGCTTAAAGGGCCGGGCAGTGGGGCACGCCCCAGGCGGTTCCCCCGGAATCCGCCACGCGGTTCCCCCGGTCCCCTGGGAGCTTTAGCTTTAGCGTTAGCTTTAGCGTTAGCTTTAGCTTTAGCTTTAGCTTTAGCTTAGCGTTAGCTTAGCTGTAGCTTAGCTTTAGCTTTAGCTTTAGCTTTAGCTTTAGCTTAGCGTTAGCTTAGCGTTAGCTCAGCTTTAGCTTAGCTGTAGCTTAGCTGTAGCTTAGCTGTAGCTTAGCTGTAGCTTAGTTTTAGCTTAACTGTAGCTTAGCTTTAGCGTAGTGTTAGCTTAGCTTTAGCTTAGCTTTAGCTTAGCGTTAGCTTAGCTGTAGCTTAGCTTTAGCTTAGCTGTAGCTTAGCTGTAGCTTAGCGCTAGCTTAGCTTTAGCTTAGCGTTAGCTTAGTTTTAGCTTAGCTTTAGCTTAGATTCAGCTTAGCTTTAGCTTAGCTGTAGTTTAGCGTTGGCTTAGAGTTAGCTTAGCTTTAGCTTAGATTTAGATTAGCTTTACCTTAGCTCTAGCTTAACTCTAACTTAGCGTTAGCTTAGCGTTAACTTAGCTTTAGCTTAGCTCTAGCTTAGCGTTAGCGTAGCTTTAGCTTAGCCTTAGCTTAGCTTTAGCTTAGCTTTAGCTTATAGTTAGCTTAGCTGTAGCGTAGCTTTAGCTTAGCTTTAGCTTAGCTTTAGCTTAGCGTTAGCTTAACGTTAGCTTAGCTTTAGCTTAGCTTTAGCTCAGTTGTACTGTTACTCCTAATGCTGCTTTCCTAGGGGCTCCGACTCCTAGGTAGGGTCGCACAGGGCTAATGTTTTGTTGGGCAGATTCCTCCTGCAAGGGACAGGCCCGACCCAACCCTGGTCCTCACCCCCCTCTCTTTGGGGCGGCGCGCGGAGCGGGCCAGGGCGAGGGTCCCGGGGAGGCCGCAAGTGACTACCTACCAGACCACCCCAACCCAACCCGAAGACCCGAATTTCGGGTTGGGGGGGGTAAGGGTTTCATATGTGTTTTCTCAACATTCCCCGACCCCCCCCCCCACTGGAAATGGAGGGCAATTTGGAGCCTTCGGGTTGGGTTGGGGTGGTTTGGTGGGTGGTGAGCAAGGCTTCTCAAAGGAGGTGGCTTCTTAGAATGGCGCCAGCCCTACACCTGACCAGACAGGGTCCGCGCCTTCTGGGAAGCAGGGGCGCTGTAAGAAGCCTTCCTCTCTCCCCCTGCCCGAACATGCGACGTCCTGACTTCTTCCATGCGGGGCCCCTGCAAGTTCCGACCCTTTCCCAGGGACTGGGCTTACATCCCGAGTCGGCTTTTGACGGCCCCGAGGCCCAGCGAGGGCCCCCAAATGCCGAAAGAGATAAAAACCTTCCGTCCTGATCTTGTTACGACGCGATCATCGTTGAGGGCTTGACGATTTCTGACGTCCCTCGACTCGCGCTGGAGTGGTCGCGATTTGCTCCGCTCCGACTTTCCCTTGAGATCTCTGGAACTACCTGGACTTACTTCGATGTATCTGAATTTCCCTCGACTGATCTGCATGTACACCTTGATGTATCTGGCTCGATCCCCACAAGTCGACTGGCGAAACGTCGCCAAGGTCGCCAAGCCCTTAAGGCGATCATGTCTGGGCACCCCTCTCTCCGACCAGCTACAACTTGGGGAGCCGTGGTCCTTACCCCCCTGGGGGAATCCGTCGTATCGACGATCCCTCGAGGAGGGGTGTCGAAATCGATGGGTCTCCCAGGGGGGTAAGGACCACAGCTCCCCCAGTTGTGGGAGGGGGAGGGGAGGAGGAGGAGGAGGAGGAGCAGGAGCAGGAGCAGGAGCAGAAACAGGAGCAGGAGGGGCAGGAGGAGCAAGAGGAGCAGGAGCAGAAAGAGGGACGAGGAGAAGGAGGAAAAGGAGGAGGAGGAGGAGGAGCAAGACGAGGAAGAGGAGGAGGAGGAGGAGCAAGACGAGGAGCCTGCCTCTGCGCGAGGGCGCGCCACGGCGCGCGCCCGCGCCGCCGCGCGCGCAACGCGCGCGCAACGCGCGCGCGCGCGCGCCCCGGGAGCCGCACGGGCGCGGCGGGCCGGACTGCCCGCTCGGCGCGGCACCGCGGGGCCGAGCCAGGAGGCTGGAGGGAGGAGGGAGGAGGGGAGGAGGGAGGGGGGAGGGGGGAGGAGGGAGGAGGGGGGAGCAGGATGAGGAGGAGGCGGAGGAGGAGAGGAGGAGGAGGGAGGAGGGAGGAGGGAGGAGGGAGGAGGGAGGGGGGAGGAGGGAGGAGGAGGAGGGAGGAGGAGCGGGAGGAGGAGGAGGAGGAGGAGGAGGAGCAGGAGCAGGAGTAGGAGCAGGATGAGGAGGAGAAGGAGGAGGAGGTGGAGGAGGAGGAGGAGGACAAGGAGGAGGAGGAGGAGGAGGAGGAGGAGGAGGAGGCGCGGCGCGGCTTGGCGGAGCCAGGCGGCTGCCACGTCGAAAGCCGGGCTTTCGTAGACTGTCTGTCTGGAGGGAAGAGGACGTGGGGCAAGGGGAGGGGGCGGAGGGGGAGGGGGGGAAAAAAGTTCGCGCGATGGTCGCGGATGGTCGCGGATGCTCGTGGCTGGCTAGAAACATCTGCGAACATCCTCGGATCGGAAACAGGCCGCATCGCGCGCAGAATCTGATCAAGATCGGGTCGCTGGGCATCGCGGGTCGGGCACGCCAGTGAGGGAACCAGCTCGCGCCGCATCGGATCGCATCGAGATCGGAGCCGAGATGGCCCGGAAACTCGGCTCGGACCAAGCTAGGCTGTCAGCAGCAGTGGGAATGGCGCGGAGCAGCCCCGAGCGCAACGCGCGGCCTGAGGACCCGAGCGCCTTCTGCAGGGCCTCCTCCATCAGCGCCCCAGCGCTCCTCCCCGCCGCGCTCTCTTGGCGGCGCCGCGGGCGCCGGCGAAGCGCCGTCGCCCGCCGCTACGACGTCGGTCGCCAACTTCGTCCGCCATGATGGCCGCCGCCGCCGCCGTCGCTGGCGCCGTCGCGGCCGCCGCCGCCACCGCCGCCGCGGGCACCGCCGTGGCCGACGCAGCGGCCTGGACCTGAGACCCAGAACAACAACTACGACTACCTCTTCTTCATCTACATATACTACTAGTACGAGTACTACTACTACTACTACTACTACTACTACTACTACTACTACTACTACTACTACTACTACTACTACTACTACTACTACTACTACGACTACTACTACTACTACTACTACTTACTACTACTACTACTATACTACTACTCTCCTACCCTACTACTACTACTACTTTCTACTTCTATACTACTACTTACTACTAAACTACTACTACTACTACTACGACGACGACGACGACGACGACTACTACTACTCGATTACTATACTCCCACTACTACCACTACTACTATACTACTTACTACTACACTACTACTACTACTGCTGCTGCTGCTGCTGCTGCGCTGCTGCTGCTTTGTGTGCTGCTACTGCTACTGCTACTGCTACTGCTACTGGACTACTGCTACTTACTACGACTACTACTACTATACTACTACTACTACTAACATACTACTACTGCTACTGTACTACTACTACTACTCTACTACTACTACTTTTAGCTGCTGCTGCTACTACTACCCACTACTGCTTCTTCTTTTCTACTTACTACTACTACTACTTACTTACTACTACTAAAACTACTACTACTACTACTCTACTACTACTATACTACTACTACTTACTACTTACTGATACTACTACTACTATACTACTGCTGCTGCTACTTACTACTACTACCACTACTGCTTACTACTACTATTACTACTACTACTACTTCTACTACTACTACTACTAGTACGACTACTAGTACTACTATTAATACAACTACTACTACTACTACTACTACTACTACTACTACTACTACTACTACTACTACTACTACTACTACTACTACGATTGGTTATACTAGTACAGCTGCGGGCAACGATAACTACTACTCCTACTCCTACTCCAACTACTACTACGACTACTACTACCACTACTCCTACTACTACGTCTACTACTACTACTACTACCACTACTACTACTACTACTACTACTACTACTACAACTAGTACTCTACTGCTACTACTACTACTACTGCTACTACTACTGCTACTACTACTACTACTGCTACTACTACTACTACTACTACTGAAACCACTACTACTACTACTACTACTACTACTGGTCAATACGACTGCTGCTACTACTACTACTACTACTACGCTTAGTACTACTACCACTACTACTACTACAACTACTACTACTACTACTACGACTACGACTAGGACGACCATTACTACTGGTATTTCTAATAAAACAAACTCGTAAAGTGCAACTACGACAACTACTACTCATATTCCTTCTGCGACTTATACGGCCACTACTCCTACTACAACAACTACTTATACCACAGTACTACTCGTACAACTAGCACGAATACTAGTACAATGGCTACAAGTACTACTACGATAACTACTACTGCTATGACTGCGACAACTACTACTACGACTACGACTACGACTGCGACAACTACTACTGCTACGACTTCTTCTACAATTACGACTACTACTACTACTACTAGTACTACTACTACTACTACTACTAACATTACCACCGCTACGACTGCTACTACTACGGCTACTACTACTCCTACTACTACTACTGCTACTACTACTACTACTACTACTACTGCTGCGACTACTACTACTACTACTACTACTACTACTACTACTACTACTACTACTACTACTACTACTTCTACTACTATTACTACTACTACTACTACGAGTACAACTACTGCTACAGCTACTGCTACTACGAATACTACTACGACTAATACTACGACTGCTCATACTACAATTGCAAATAATACTACAACTACGACTACTACGACTACTACTACTACTACCACTACTACTACTACTACTACTACTACTACTACTACTACTACTACTGCTACTGCTACGACGACGACTACCACGACTATTGCCACTGTTACGACTGCTACTACTACCACTACCACTACCACCACTATTTCCATTACCACTACCATTACTGTTACTACTACCATTACGCCTAGCACCACCGATGCTACAACTTCTGCTACTACTGCGACCGGAACAACGACCAGTAATTCTTATATTACGACTCCTGCCACGCTACTACGACAAAAACCATTACTACCTACTGCTACTACGGCGACCACTACTACCACTGCGAGTATTACTACTACGAGTAGTGACACAACGAGTATTACTTCTACTACGACTCCGACTACTACTGCCAAGTGCGAATACAAATACGCACATATCTCCTACCACAACTAACACTACCACTACCACTACCACTACCACTACCACCCCCACCACCACTACTACTACTACTACTACTACTACTACTACTACTACTACAACTAGCACTACTACTACCACTGCTACTGCTACGAATACGACTGCGAGTACGATAACGATTACCACTACGACTAGTACCACTTCGACCACTATAACTGTCACGACCTACGACTACGAGTACCACTACTACTGTTACGACGACTACTACGACTACGACTACGACTACGACTACGACTACGACTACGACTACGACTACTACTACTACTACTACTACTACTACTACTACTACTACTACTACTACTACTCTACTACTACTACTACTACTACTACTACTACTACTACTACTACTACTACTACTACTACTACTACTACTACTACTACTACGACTACTACTACTACTACTACTACTACTACTACTACTACTGCTACTATTACTATTACTACTACAGCTACTACTACTACTCCTACTACTACTACAACTACTGCGACTACTACTACGACTACTACTACTACGAATTCTACGAATACGATGTCCTACGACTGCTACGACGACTACTACTACTACTAATTCTACTACTACTACCACTACTACTACTACTACTACTACTACTACTACTACTACTACTACTACTACGACTACTACCACTACTACTACTACTACTACTACTACTACTACTACTACTACTACTACTATGACTTCCACTTCGACTTCGACTTCGACTACGACTACGACTACGACTACGACTACGACTACTACTACTACTACTACTACTACTACTACTATTACTACTACTACTACGATCACGGCTACGACTACGACTACGACTACGACTACGACTACGACTACGACGGCGACGACGACTACTACTACCACTACTACAACTACTACTGCGTTTACGGCGACCTCAGGGGCCCTTCCCACAGGAGACTCGCCCTCAAAAGCTTCTCCGCGGGGAAGGTTTTTTATAGTGCACGAGGACAACGACGACGAAGACAACTAAGACGAAGCTTATGTTTTTTTCTCTTTGCTTACCTGCCCGAATATTCTACGAAGCCGACGACGACGACGCGCCGACTCGATTGGAGATGTAGCGAATTCTATGTCAATCCTTGCTCAAACAAACTCAAAACTCCTCTGTCGTGCTGGGTAGCTCAGAAAACACCATCCTATGGCAATGGTGGGCAGAAACTGCACGCGGGGTACCCACCGAACAAGCTCACCACAACTATGGCAAGATCTTACTGCGCACGATTACTTGCATGAGCCCCATATGGAGACGTCAAAGACGACGAGCAGGACGACGACGAAGACCACGCCGACTCGCATCGAGATGCAGCAAAGTGCAATTCAATCCTATTTACATTGAAGCTCGAACAACCTCCGTCGTGAAAGATCGCCCAGGAGGCATTATCCGCTTGGAGGAACAAATGCCCAACAACAACTGAAAGGCCAACAGCAGTGAGCAAACCGTCGCGGGCACCAGCCGGCGCCGACAGAGGAAAGGAGGATGCTGTAGATGCTAGCAAGATGCGTAGGCATTGAGTAGATGCGGTCGACTCCAAAACCCCTAGAAGGGAATCCCCAGGGAATACAAAGGCATCCCTGGGGAATCCCGGAAGGAATCCCATGGAATCCTTAGGGGATTCTAGGGAATAGTCCTGCCAGCAGGGAGCTTTGGGCGGGTGAAGGGGGTGCAGCATTCAAGACCCCGGCGATTACTGAAAAAACAGCGTGCATTCCTAGGCATTTCTGATGGGACTCCTCGGAAGGATGCAGCAAGGCAACGTGTGAGACCACGGCCCTGTGCACCTCAGCATACGATTTACATAAGATCTCGTGGCCGTCAAGACCAAACATGTAGCCGACACTCATAGAAGAAGAACATACGGCAAATATGTAATTTTTTGGCGCTCCGCGCGGATGTCTTGGATCTGCGCTGGACTCCCCCTCCCTGGCGCGCGGAGCGCGCCAGAGGCAGCGCCGAAGGCGCCGCCAGCGGGGCCCAGCGCGGATGCAAGATATCTGTGCGGAGCGCGAAAAGTTTATAATATCGAGTTCAGGCGAGAGCAAGCCTCGAGTTCGGGCGATGCTCACCGCGTTCTCCTCTTCGAACTTAGGCGAGAGCAGGACTCCGAAATAACTTGCGAACAGGTCTCGGGCGGAAAACGGCCGCGGGAACGGGCGATCCAGGGGGGGGGGCGGGCGGTCGCGGGCACCCCTGTGGGACTCCCCATGTGGTCCATTCTGACCTCTGCGACTGCGGAAGTCATCCAGCGAAACGCTGCTGCGGGCAAGACTCATCGCTTCTCGGTTTGTCTTCGTTCGGTGTTCCGTTCTGCTCTACCCGTTTTCCTGCACCTCCCTCCCGAACCGAGAAATGAGACACGGCCGAAGTTCAGCAAAACAACGCTAAGGTCCAGCCCCGACTTCTCTCCATGTCCAGTGCGTCTTGGACTTGCTTGGAAAGGGCGCCACAAAGGCAAGGGCGCACT